TATTTTCGCGGGAACGCAGGGTAACGTATTCGGCCTAGATAATCGCATTGGCCCCGGCATGGTTCAAGACAACATGCCGGGGCCCTCAACAAAAGGAAACTTGTCTTACGAACAGATGCTTCCTAAACTGCGGAGGGCGCAATCCTTCAACAGGAGCTGGACGGTCGTACTGAGCCGTTATCATTCTTTTCTCGAAAGCTTCAACCAGCTGAGACGCGTTACAGTACCTCTTCCAGAGAACTATTGGCGATTTACCTTGCTGTGAAGCACTTTCGTCAACTACTGGAACGACGTGAGTTCACAATTTTTGCCGATCATAAACCACTAATTTATGCCTTTCATGCAGCCTCCGACCGGTATTCTCCACCTTGACTATGTTCCCCAGTTCACAACCAATATTCGCCACGTCGATGGGACTGATAACGTCGTGGCCGATGCGCTGTCCCAAGCACATGTTCATAACCTTTCTGTTCCTGGTATCGATCTTGAACAGTTAGCTGCAGCGCAGATGGATGATCCTGAATTCCAACAGTTCCGTAGAAATTCTAGTCTAGAACTGGAAGAGCTACCACTTCCCCCATGCTCTTCAAAAATTACTTGCAATATGTCACTTGGCAGACCTCGCCCCTTTGTTCCTGTCATATTTAGAAAGCAAATATTTGAATCCCTTCATTCTATTTCACGCCGTGGTGTTCGCGCCACCGTGCGCTTGACAACAGACCGTTTTGTTTGGCCTAGCCTTCGTAAAGATGTTCGCTTATGGGCTAAAGTCTGTATTCCATGTCTACGCAGTAAAGTCTACCGTCAAAACATTTCACAACCTGGACATTTTTCCCTCCTGGACGCGCGTTTTGAACTGCAGCATACCATCCAGCCTCTAATGGCTTGGTTGAGCGTTTCCACTGGCAATTGAAGTTAGCCATTATTGCAAAAGCTGCCTTCGAAACACTGGTCTGACTCATTACCATTAATTTTATTGGCCATTCACAATACGGTAAAGGATTATATTGACTCCCCATCCGGATGTCCGCTTCCATCATGAACACATAGGCTTAGTTGGACCTCTTCCGCCGTCTCGTGGTTTTACTTATGTCCTAACTTGCGTGGACCGCTTTACTCGTTGGCCTATGGCAATGCCTATTAAAGATGGTCTCGCCGGAACCGTTGCCCGCACGTTTATGGAATCATGGGTTTCCTTATTTTCTTGATCCCAGTTCGAATTACATCTGATCTCAGTGCACAATTTACGTCTTGTTTGTTTGCAAATACAAATCCTGCAGTAAGACTTCACGCCACAAAATGACTCACATTCTAGCTAATAATTATTTGCAGTCCAGATACTTTGCTTGACCACAATACTGCTCGGATCTTTCAGCGCAATCCAGAGTGTACCGATTGCAGAAACATTTTAAAAGGCTGCTTACTGCATGCGTAGCTCAGTTAACGGTACCAACCGTTGTCTCTGATCTGAATGGGACATTAATGTGCCTTTAACATTCACTAATTATGTAGACAGCGAGGTATCGACGGCGGAGGCAATATAGAAAATATTCATTATTTGAAAAAGGCGAAAAATTACGATCTAACGATGCCGACTTAGCACAACAACTGCAACAAAAAACTTGGTCATTTCTGGTAGCCCTAATGTCTTTTGTTCGCAGCTCAGCGGTAATGTTTCCACGTACTTCAAGAATATTCACCACCGGGCTGGCAGCAGAACATACCATCAGACGAAGTACCGCCATGTTATGCAGCGTCTCAATTTGTGGCAAATTCCTGAGCCACAACATTGGCATGCGTCGCGCTACTTCCTGTTCCGTTTAAGTTCAAACAGGACTCACAAATACCGACCACCGGGACGACTTTACTCTAA